GCTTCTAGAGCTCCAACAGGTCGAGAGGATCCGCCAGAAATTAGAAAGGGAACTGAAGGAAGCAACCGATAGAGAAAGAGAAATTAAAAATAGAATAGTCAGGCTTGATTCGTTGGAGGCTGACAAAGCTGCTCTAGAGGCGTTGGATGAGTCAGTCATGACTGACCAACTGAAAGTGTTGAAGCACAATATATTGTCGTTGCATGCGCACATGGACAGCAGATTGGACTTCATGCAGCACACTCTAGATCAGATCTTGGACCTTTTGCAAAGGCCAGGATTTAGACCAGCAGCACAATCGCCGTTGCCGTTAACGGCGATGTCAGGCCCCTTTCCCGTACAAGCTGGCACACAACCAAGTGGCACGTCTGCAGCAGCTGCACAGACTGTTGCTTCTTCTTCTTCGGGTCCAGCGGTGGGTGCTACACCATCGCAACAACCTGTTCCTCAACAGGGACAGCCGCAAGGTCAATGGTACCCTAAGACCCCAATGAAACCGCCTCTTGCCTTCTCAGGCGAGAGGAAGGACGAAGAACTCAACACTTGGTTGAGAACAGTTCCGGTTTGGGTGAAGGCGAAGAGGACCTTGCCAGAGGACGAAGTGGTTACTGCTGCATCTTACCTCGAAGGTAAGGCAGCCAAATGGCTAGATGGTATAGTTGCAAAGGCCGAGTATGGACGACGTATGGCGGAGTGGGCTAAGTCTATTACGTTAGACCAGTTCTTTGAGATGGTAGAAGCTCGTTGGCACAATCCTCAACAGGCACAAATGGCTACTGATGCGATAAACAGACTAGATCAAAGAAAGTTCAAGTCAGTCAGAGAGCTTACGACTACCGTGGAAAGTCTCATCGTTGTCCCCGGCTTCAACTACGACAACCAGTTCCTGTTGACAACCTTTGTTAGATGTCTTCCAGAGAACCTCAGGAACTTGCTGGCCAGCGAGGCACGCCTCGAGTAGCACTCGTTTGAGACATTGTCTAGAAAAGCCTTAGACTTAGAGGCTACACTAGGGAATGCTCAACCCACTCAGAATGACGCGAGGAAGAAGAAGAGTCCGCAGGAATGGAAAAAGAAGGGGGCCAAGTTGATGATGGTTGAGTCCGATGGGACTCAAACAGAAATTGCTGAGCTCACAAACCTGCTGGACGGTTCATAGTACGACGACGAGGAGATCGCTCCCCGCAATAGTCAAGGCGAAGGCGGGTGGCCGAGGGAAGGGCCATCCAAAGAGTCAAGGGAAGGCCGCCTCCAATCAGCCCAAAGTGGCTGATTGGGTCAAGGCACGTCTTGATCAAGACGTGTGGCGGGACCGCCGAGTGCGTGGCGCTTGTATAAACTGTGGTGAATACGGACACACCCAATACAAGTGTCAAAACTCAAAGGTCACGCAGAAGATACCTCCTAAGATGGGGGTATCTTCTTCCCAGGCTTCTAGCTCGGGAAACACGTGAGGCCGGTGGAAGTTTTAGCTGCTTCTACTCAGGGTGAAGTGGGCCACATACCCTCCCCACTTCACGAGAAGGCCAAAGCTAATGACTCTTTAGTCACCCCGTAGACTCGTCTAGACCAAACTATGCTCTGTACGTTAGATGTGTTTGAAGCCTTAGAAGATCTGGAAAGAAAGTGGTCAAACAAGGACCCTCGCGAATCTTGAGTGGCACTAAAGAAAGGTCCTAGAGGGGAACATTTCGTAGTGGAAGTCGATGTAGGAGGCCGCAAATGTGGTGCCTTCATAGACATAGGCTCCACGCGGAATTACATAAGTCGCGACTGTTTGGAAAGGCTGCACCTACAGGACCGGGTACGACACCTTAGTAAACCTGTAGCATCTACTTTGGCCAACAAGGAGAGCATGATAGCCACATATTATATCAAGGACGTAGTCTGTACCTTCTCCTATGGAGGAGGATAACTTAATCATAAGATTTCGTTCTTGGTTAACGACGACTTACCATTCGACATGTTGTTAGGCATGTACTACCTTGAGGTTGCTAAGCCCCAGTTCGACTGGGATAAGAAGGTGCTAAAGCATAAGTTGCCCGATGGCAGGACAGTCAGATTAACTAAGTTCAAAGTCAGTAGCATAATAGATACCTATGACTGCTTGTGCGCATCGACGTTCTATAACTATTACAAACAAAACCAAGAGGAAGGTATGTACCTTGTGTATGTCTCTGAGAAAGGGGAGGCCGTTAAAACACCCCCACAGATAGAACGCGTCGTTGCTAAGTTCCCTGATCTGTTCGAAGAGCCTACAGGAGTTGTAGAAAGGGAAGTTGTCCACACTATAGAAATCATTCCAGCGAGTAAAACCCCAAAGGGAAGGATCTATAGGATGGCTCCTGCCGAGTTAGATGAACTTCGGCGACAACTCAAAGAGCTGACAGAGAAGGGATGGATCCKGCCTAGTACTTCCCCTTACGGATCGCCAGTACTATTTGTACCAAAGAAGGGGGGTACATTGAGGACGTGCATTGACTATGGAGGCCTCAATGCCATCACAATGAAGAACGCAGAGCCTCTACCTCGCATAGACGACCTACTGGATAGGGTGCAGGGATGCAAGTACTATAGCAAGATAGACTTGAAATCCAGCTATCATCAGATCACTATAAGACCTGAGGACCAACACAAGACAACTTTTCAAACTCGGTATGGTCTGTATGAGTTTGTAGTGATGCCCTTTGGTCTTTGCAATGCGCCGAGAATATTCCAACACACCATGAATCGGATCTTCCATGACCATTTAGATAAGTTTGTTGTGGTTTACCTTGACGACATGCCGAGGAGCATGCACAGCACGTTGAGACTGTACTTTCACTCCTGCGACAACACAAGTATAAGGTCAACCTAGAGAAGTGTGAGTTTGGTCGCACTAAGATATTATACTTGGGTCATGAAGTATCCGCGGAAGGGATTAGGCCGGAAGATGCGAAGGTGGCTAGTAGGCCACGAACTCAGACTGTCACTGAGGTCAGATCTTTCTTAGGAATGTGCGGCTACTATAGGAACTTCGTAAAGAACTATTCTATAGTCGCCTCTCCTTTGAAGGATCTAACTCGACTTGACACGCCGCGGGACTGGAGTGATGAGTGCGAGGGTGCTTTCAAGCGATTGAAGCATGCACTCATGAATCATGAAGTTCTCATGGTTCCCGATCCTCAAAAGCCATTTATAGTGACCACTGACGCAAGCCAATATGGCATTGGCGCAGTACTGGCTCAGCAGGATGGGAAGAAGTTGAGACCGATTGAGTACATGAGTAAGAAGATGCCATCTAAGAAACTGGCAAAGTCCACCTATGAAAGGGAACTCTATGCTCTCTACAAGGCACTTGTCCATTGGAGACACTTTCTGTTGGGACGGTTCTTCTATTTGAGGACTGACCATTAGACACTCAAATGGATCAAGACTCAACCGGCTCTCTCTGATGCACTCAAGCGATGGATTGAGGTCATAGATCAATATGACTTCAAGATTGAGTATCTGAAGGGGGAGTACAACAAGGTTGCAGATGCGCTATCACGTAGGGCAGACTACCTAGGGGCGTTAGTTTTTGACTTTGGTGTATCAGAAGAAGTAACTCAATCGTTGGTGGGAGCCTATCAGGAAGATCCTGTCACGATGGACATCATGCGCAAACTTCAGGCAAAAGACAAGGCCACGAAAAGTGAGTTTGTGATGGTGGACGGGCTTCTCTATCTTGATAAGACCGGTATTAAAAGGCTGGTAGTTCCATCTAGTGAACGATTGCGTAGTTTGTTTTTAGGAGAATGCCATGACGCAACCGGACACTTTGGTTACAAAAAGACGAGTGCTAATCTAGTAGAACGATTTTGGTGGCCTGGAATGCTAGATGATGCGAAGAAGTATGTAGATACTTGTCAGGTCTGTCAGCGGGACAAGCCGCTGAAGCCCTTACCTATCCCTGCTGGACCAGGACAGAGTGTTTCCATGGATTTCATGGACACCCTGGTGACCAGTAAGAGTGGCAAGAGGCACATTTTCGTCATCATCGATCGATTCACCAAGTACGCTAGACTAGTTGCCATGCCAGAGACCGCAAGGACGGACCTCGTCATCGAGTTGTTCCAGGACAACTGGGTGCGTGACTTTGGTTTACCAAAGACAATCGTTAGTGACAAAGATGTCCGTTTTACAAGTGAGTTGTGGAAGAAGACTGCTGAGCACATTGGCAGTCAACTTCAGATGACTTCAGGGAATCATCCCGAAGCCAACGGACAGGCCGAGCAAATGAATAGAGTTGTACAGCACTTGCTGAGGCATTACATCAAGCCCAGCCAGGATGATTGGGATGAGAAGTTGCCTCTCATCGCCAACCTGTACAACAACGTTGTACGCAACAGTACCGGCGTTAGTCCTAACCAGCTGCACTTGGGATGGAAGCCTAGATCTGTTCTAGACTTCCTCCTACCTGAAAACCGATCCTCTGCAACTCCATGCACACTTGAGTATGGTGTGCAATATGAGAAGTTGCTGCAGCAAGCTGTCGAGCATATTAAGAAAGCTCAGCAAGCAATGATTGCTTCTGAGAACAAGCATCAACGACAGTGAGCTAGGACAGGAATTCGGTATCTCTAGAAAACTAATGCCCAATACTTTGGTCCTTGGGAAGTCTTGGATGTAGTGGGGGATGAGATGGATGGTCCTACCTATGTTATCCGTATCCCTGGACACCTACGCACTTACCCCGTCTTTCATGCCTCAAAGCTTGCACCTTTTGCTGAGACTGATCAATTCCCTTCAAGGAGATCGATGCTGCCCCCAACCATGGATGGTCAAGTGGACATCGACGACATTGTGGATCACAGAGATCTGCCTGTTCAGAAGCCATTGGGTAGAGGAAGACCTCCTAAACCAAAGACAAAATATCGCGTCAGATTCAAGCATCATACGGATCCGAAAGAAGACCGATGGTTCACCAGAGAGGAACTGATTGACACAACTCCTCAGGTGGTGGCATAATATGAGAGGATGCTAAAAGGGAAGGCACCTGCGAAGTAAGCATCTCAGCGGACTTTCGAAGCTAAGGGGGATGGAATGTGAGGATTGAATCCTCAAGAAGGGGCCTTGCCCTGATGGACATGTTCTGGGCTAAGGCCCCCAGCAAGCCTTGTGCCCGCCCTAAGTGAAGGTGGGCCAGCAAATCAACAAGAGTCCTCTGTGCAAACATTTCACGAAGTGGGGTCCATACAGTTGCAGCACGCCAGTTGGTTGGAGTGCACTGAGTCTCGGATCACTGCAAATGCGGAAATCCCAGGGCCCCTAAGTTGGTTAGGCCCTGGGCACTTGAACGTGAGGCTGACAATGCATGCTGGGTATAGAGGCCGAAAATGCCAAAGGGAAATCGGCCCACTATCTGAATCTGGCCGCAGGCCTTGACGAAAGAGGCGCAACTGCATCCCCCGGGCCTCAACCACATCGGGCCTCGGTCCAGGCACTGGGGCCCAGACGCAGGCTGAAGGGAGGCCGCCCACACGCAACACTGGCATATAGGCAAGCAGGGCGAGTGGGCAGGGATCTTGGCCATTGCGGGCAATGCCGGCACGCTGCGCTAATGCGAGCTGCTGCGCTGCGCTAGGCTGAGGGGCAAGGCAGGTGGGCGCTAGGTGGTAGGGCGCTGCATGTACACAGGGCGCTGGCGGCCATAGCCGGGCTGGTGGTTCTTCGGAGGTGAAGGGTGCTGTGTGGGATAACAAGGGAGAGTGTGGGTGAAGAGAGAGACGTACCTGGTGGAGGAGGGAGGTCGGCATTGGTGTTGACATCATCACTCGCTGGTCGTCAAGTTGTCTGGTTGCTCTCATACTGTAGTTGTAGTGATAGGCTGTAGAGTATAGGTAGGGCGCCTGGCACCATTCAAGAGAGAGAGCTACATTGAGTTATGCTGTTGGTGTTGCCCTGTTGGGCTTGGACATTGACTCACGATTCTTCTGTATCGTTCTCAAATGGATGGCTACTCGGTTCCATTGTGCTATCTGCTCTTGCTTTGACTACTTGGACTTCAGTGTGATTTTGCAATATGGATTTCTGTGCTTCGTCCATATTCATGTTCCTTGCAACTGAATGGACAATGTGGTAGTGGAATCTCAACAAGCAGAGTTCATCCTGATACATACAAATGGCATTTTGTAGCGCAGTGGAAGACTCGGATATAAGTCCTGACTTGACCGGGACTGACACGGCATCCCATTATACATCACCCATGTGAGAGGAGGTGGAGATACCAAAGTGTTGCATACCATGATGGAGCAAACCAGTAGAAGACAGCGCAGCGGAATGCTAGGATACCAATGATCAACCCAGTCAATGTCACAATGCAGATCCAACATACATCATCATTGTTGCAAGGTGTGAAGGGCCTGGCGCTACACACAGGAAGAATGCGGCAGGTCTGGACCATACACAGACGAAGAGGAGGGGATCAGACGAAGAAGAAGGGGAAGATGGGAATGTCGTCAACACCAAGTCTTCGGTACAGGTCCCAAATAATCCCTCGTTCAATGTCTCAATCCCAATGTCGAGTCTGACTCCAAATGTCGTCAAGTCCCAAAGTCACCAATCTCTCTCCCTCTCGTAGTCTGCAGATACTGAGAAGTCAGGTAGCGAGAGGGTGAGGGAGAGATGGTGGACTTAGAGGAGGAAGAAGAAGAACTCTCTCTCTCTCTCTCTCTCTCTCTCTCTCTCTCTCTCTCTCTCTCTCTCTCTCTCTCAGAGTCCGGTACTAACCTTTGAAGGTGGCGCCTTGTTGCAGGTATATCGAAGACGAAGCTGGAGCTATGTCGCCACAGGTAAGTCTCCCTGGCCTTCGCCAACCATCTCTCTCTCCAATGCTACTCTAGCTCCTACTACTTCTTACGTTATTACTACTGTAGCGCTCCTCCAGAGTGCTGCTGCCAAATCCTGAAGACTGCCTCCTGCCTTCTGCACTTGAAGTGCCTGGGAAGTCCCTATGAACTACCTGCAGCCTGCAGGGCGTCCTATAGAGTGCTGCCCTGTCCTGGAGGCTGCTCTTGCCAAGGCCAAAACGTGCCAGACCCTGGCGTTGAAGTTCAAACAAGGGTTGTCTTGAAAACAGGCCCAAAATGGCCTGTGCTAAAACCCTGGTCTGGTGCCCAAGTTTCAGGGCAGGTCGATCTTATGAGGGCCTGAAAATGGCCCTCCGTTTCAGGCTGAAAAAACTCAGGGCCTGGAGGGCCCTGGCTGAAACGACACAGGGCCTGTAGGCCCTTGTTTTCAGGCTTTCAGGCTGAAACGACACAGGGCCTGTAGGCCCTTGGTTTCAGACTTTCAGGCTGAACGACACAGGGCCTGTAGGCCCTTGTATTCAGGCTTTCAGGCTGAAACGACACAGGGCCTGTAGGCACTTGTTTTCAGGCTTTCAGGCTGAACGACACAGGGCCTGAAAATGGCCCTCGTTTGCAGGCGCAGCATGTAACACAGAGGAGGAGGAGGAGGAGAGGAGAGAGGAGGAGGAGGAGGAGGCGGAGGAGGAGGAGGCGGAGGAGGAGAAGCAGAAGCAGAAGAAGCAGAAGAAGCAGAAGCAGCAGAAGCAGAAGAAGCAGCAGAAGCAGCAGAAGCAGAGGAGGAGGAGGAGGAGGAGGAGCAGAAGCAGGAGAAGCAGAAGAAGCAGAAGCAGAAGAAGTAGAAGCAGAAAAACAGAAGCAGGAGAAGCAGAAGACGCAGAAGAAGCAGAGGAAGGACGAAGTAGATTAGGAGGAGGAGGAGAGGAAGGATGAAGGAGAGGAGGAGAGGAAGGATGAAGGAGAGGAGAAGGAGGAGGAGAAGAGTAAGGATGAAGGAGAGGAGGAGGAGGAGGAGGAGGAGGAGCAGCAGGAGAAGAGGAAGGACGAAGGAGAGGAGGAGAAGAGGAATGACGAAGGAGAGGAGGAGGAGGAGGAAGGACGAAGGAGAGGAGGAGGAGGAGGAGAAGAGGAAGGACGAAGAAGAGGAGGAGGCGACGGCGGCGAAGAGGAAGGA